TACCTGTTATATCCGTACATACATATATATTATATTATATTATATTATATATATTATATATATATATATTTATTATATATATATATATAGTTTTATTAGTTTTGTAGATTTATGTATTCAAATATAGATATAGATATATATATATATATATAAATATATATATATATCGTTTTATAGATTTATAGATTTATGTATTCAAATATAGATATATATATACATATATATATATATATATATATATGTACAATTGTATCCATATACTTCATTTCAAATATGCTTACATATTCATCTCCATTTATCGTGTATTGATATGTATGTCTTGGATTCGTATTTATCTAACTATGTCCTCCTAACTCTAGTTAGATTATGTCGAATTGATTCACAGCCCACGTTACTAGCAATTCGACATTTCTATGTAACATTTGAATAATTCTCAGACCAGCATCAGTTTGTTATTTGCTACAGTGTGATATGTGTGCCGCCTGGCTCGAAGATTGCACATTGTTTAAGGGAAATATGACAAAATTTCTGATTGCTATCCGATGCTTTCTTCACTTAAAAAACGCGATCATCCGCATTAAAATACCCCGGATCATTTCCATGTCTACACCGCACATGATTTGCGATCCCATATTTTGCATGCTTTGTTGCTAACCAACCCCACGTTTATCTCCACAGTTCAACCGAGTGATGACCCGTGATTACCACGCGGTGGGCACCCCACAACGGGCGTGGCAGGATTCGGTAGAGACATTTTTAGAAATTAACCGTCAGCCTGACCGGTTTGTGGACATGAAGACTCTACTAACAGACCTGGACGATCAACTCACCGCCACACAGAACTCAGCCAAAGGCGGCCGCGCCTCACTGGGGAGACGCCGTAGTTCCGCACTGTCCTACGATTTTAGATCTCCGTTTGATTCCGGTGCCACCAGTGGCAGTGGAAAGAACTCGCCTGCGCCAGGGCCCCCCACCCCACGTGGCAGCAATGCGGGAGAGAAGAAGAACACGCGCCCGTTAGTCACCGTGCCTGTTGGCTTGCCGAATGCGAAGAATCAGAACCTGTGCTTCATGAACTCGGTGAGCCAGGCCCTCGCGCACAGTTTCTTCAACGGCAAGCTGCGTCCTCTGTTGGCCCAGCTGTCGCACAGAGAGCCCACCGACCCTGCGGTTGCTAAGAAACAGCCCGTGGTGAAGACGCTGTACCCGCTGTTGGAATCCCTGGCCAACAATGCGAAAGCCAAAAGCAAGGACGAGCCACAGAAGTGCATGGACGCGTTCCGGGTGGCGATGTCGGCCTTCCCCGAGTCCAATGTGCAGAAGCCCAAGTCTGGGGTTAAGCAGCAACAGCAGGATGTGCACGAGTGGCTGACATTTGTACTACAGACGCTCGAAGCGGTCGCGGCCACATCTGAGGAGAGACTAATCAACTTTGATACCTTTGACGATCTGATTAAAGGCACGGCGACAGTACACGAGGTGATGGCAGACCTACAATGGAACGAGCGCTTCTCTGTGGGGGCAGCGCAGTTTGCGGCCAGTCTGGCGTACCAGACCATCACCGCGTACTATTGCGGTAACTGCCGGGTGGTCACTCAGGTACGTCCGGATATAAATAACATTCTCAGTCTGTCTGTGGGGAGTGAGACGTCGGAGACCACTGTGCAGGCGCTGTTTAATGAGACGGTCAGCTCCGAGCCGTTGGATGGGTGGCGGTGTGGGGCGTGCAACACATCGCACCCAGACACATCGCGAATCAACAAGTTCTTCCGTATGCCGACGTTCCTGATTGTGCATATTGTGCGCACGCAGTTGGACATGACTACCGGCGAACTGGGCAAGTCACAGCGACCCGTGCGTATCGGAAACATTACCTGTGAACTACCCACACAGTTGCTACCGAGGCAGGCTAGTGAGAAGAAACACGCGTTAGTCACCTACTCGCCAGTGTCGGTAGTAACTCATCTGGGCGCCGAGATGCGCTCAGGACATTACACATGTTTTAGCTCACTGGAGAATAAGACGATTCTGTTCGATGATGATACGATATCTGACTTTGGAACGGATGTGCCGGAGAAACACACGGAGATTTTGCAGAAGAATTCGGCTCTTATTTTCTATATCCGGGAATAGAAAATACTTATATATCCTGTACTTAAATCCGCCTAGCAGCAGTAGTAATCAAATGTAAATAAAGTTGAATGACATACTGAAGTTTGAATGCCTTATACGCTCATTCCTATTGTGTTCTATCCATCAAGTAGTCTGTCTAGAAAAATAAATGTATTCCATACTGACCTTTGCCCGTCACTGAGATAATCGGTGCTATCAACTATAGAGCAAGCCATACATATCATAACATAGTATATAGACACATGCAGCTATTTATGCCTTTGCAGTACGTGTGTATGAAGTGCTTTTACTTATTTTTTTAATATATATAAAAACAAAAAAATAGATTTCTCGGTTTGTCGTCAGAATACTTTTGGCGGGCAATTTTGAGCGATGAAATTATTATTTTTTGTGATCTGACAACTCTGAGGTTCTATCGTGTTACGTGTAGCCAGCTCTCTCTCTTTACAATACTGCAACAAATATTGTAGTCTAAAATTTATACAAATAGAACAAGAGTCACAGGCAAGTATCTGAGTGTACCTCTATACCAATAGTTAGTCCTGTATATAACTTATTGGTTGGACTTGAATGCAGCTAGGACGATGACTATAAACGACGTCATTCAGAAGGGTCTAAGCGACCTTGACCTGGCAGCTCGATTCGATCGTAATGTCGAACTACAAACCGATGACGAGGGTGCTTATAATCTGACAGACGTGCAGGGTGACACGGCGTTCACATGGGTACCCCCCGCTGCAGTGCCGATTGGAAATAACACATTCGGGTGTGTGTGTGTGTGTGTGTTTGTGTCATAACTTAGCTTATGAATCCATGCACAAGTGGAATTGTGCGTTATATACATATATATATACATATATATATATATATATATATTTATATATATGTGTGTGTGTGTGTGTGTGTGTGCGTGTGTGTGT